CTGACCTGTAGTTTTTAAGTTATCCGTAATAATGCGTATTTAATTGACTTCGACTACATTGATGATGTTCTCATTTTATTTATATTGAAGTCGGTTGTACAAAATTTTTAATTTTACTACTCATTATCGAGCAGACGGTCCATCGCAACATTTTATGGTTGCACCACTCGCCGCAACGCGGCGCCGCCCCTTGCATAGTATATATAAACTATATCTATAAAAGTTTACTCCTTATTTGGTGTGTATAAAAGTAAAAATAAAAACAACATTGTGTGCAAATATTTTATATTTTAATTGACAATAAATAAATTCAATTTCTCGAAATTGACACATAATTTACAAGTTATACATGTATGTTAATACAAAACTTAGTCGCTAGTAAGAAAAAGCATTTGAGAACATTTCTAAGACTAATAAATAGCGACGAAAATCATAAGCCGCATCATACACACTTAGCATCATCATAATGAAGCAAATAGGCCACAAAACGTATTTATAACTGGCATTTTGAAGATATGAGATCGTATCGAATCCACGAACAAAATAATTTTTAACGGAATGTTCATTTTATTTTATGTACAAAAATTAGGATAATTTATTTTACTGTTTCGGAAACTTACAGCTAAAACATCAAGTAAATACATAATGCGTAAGTAGAGGAAGAAAGCCAATTACAATTTTTTACAAATAGAATTAAAATAGTAAACATATAACAATTTTATGTCAAATAATAAAATATACCGCATATTATTAACCGACTTCAAAAAAGAGGAGGTTTTCAATTCGAGTTCGAGTTTATTTGTATGTATGTTACGTGATATCTTCCCACCAATCTGAAAAATGATTCTTTTTTATTAAATTTGTTGTACTTCAAGGGTGGTCCCATATAAATTTGGAGAAAAAAATGCTTTTTATATGCATAAATAACTTCTTTTTTAACAATTTGAAGTCGGTTTTAACATTTTGTTTAGAGTTAAAATTATAGAGAGATCTACTTAAACAAATAATTAGAAAGCATAGTCTTTACTTACACTAGTGTTCAATAAATCTATACAAAATTGTTGTGTTGCAGTATTAAAACTTGTATTCCCTTATTAAAAATGAATTTTGTCAATAGATGGTTTTGTTTAAAGGGACGTGCAAAAGATAATGTTTTATTAGTAGCCACAGAACACCTAATATAGCTAGAGCCGGCAACGCGCGCCGTGTATATGACTTAAAAGCCAACTACTAGAATTTCGTGATACTTGCAGTGTTTCGAACTATTCAGGAAAGGGTTATTGTTCTTCTAAAGGAATTTCTTATCATCGGGGAGTAAAATAATACATTTTTAAATCGGTTTTATTAAACGATACTTCGCCCTGTACGCATCGTAGTATGTATGACCGCTGGTCCCAGACGCCAATTAAGGGTGTGCTAGCAGGTTATTTTTAGAAATAAATTAATAAAATATATATATATAATTATATATATAATAATTTTATATATATATATATATATATATATATATATATATATATATATATAATTATACTTCTTATTCAATCAATATGCTTATATTTTTTTAGATTTCCAATAAAGTCAGAAGTTAAGGAAAAATGGATTTTGGCGACAGGGAAAAAAATTCGTTTCCTTTTAAACATAGCAAAATATGTTCACCACATTTTCAAGAAAAGTATTTTAATCCTACAAGAAAACGCCGTGTTCTTTTGGACGACTATTTAAGTTTGGACAACTTCTGAAAATTTAAGTACTTCTAAATAAATTATAAAGTATCTTCAAAATAAATTTTAGTAAAATACAAACCATCCCGTGGCTCTATTATGCAAAACAGTAAAGAAATTATGTGACGCCACTAGTACATTTTTGACACTTTATAATTCGGAAACGAAACGCTTTACGACATCATTTTGGGTCTGGCCACCCTATTTTGTTAAGGGTATCAAAAAATTGTATAAAAAATTACGAATTCAACGGTATTCTTATTTTTTTCTATTGCATGGCACTTGAAAATATTTCAATTTTGACTTGTTCTTCATCAGTGGAAAAAATGAATAAATCTACTTTATTACGAATGGTTGAAGAAGATTGAAAATGAAGAATACATCAAAGAATTTGATAAAGAAAATATCATGACAGAATTTAGTTTAGAAGTAGTAAGCTACATAGCAGGAAATGTGGTACATTTTTTACTAAACAAAATTAAATGCAAAACTTGCATTTCGGCTCTTTTGAATTCCAGTGCTATTAAAGACAATTTTAAATTGATACGGTTGAAAGAACGGTGGTCTTGTTTTTCCTAGCGCCGACATAATTTTGATTTATAAAAAAATTGAATCAATTCTTAAAACTTTTACTGTAAATGCTCAATTAGACAAACATTTTGAAAAGTTTAAAAAGCACATAACATCCAGAGCCTTACGTCATTTCATTGGCATTGAAACATTCAGAGAAATCGATTTTCATCAATTTGATCAGGGACCAATGGAAAACCATGTATTGTTAACAAAATATATTATGGAAAGGTATACAGATATTCGCCACCATTTGATAAAAACCTCAGCACAAAAAGTATCAAAAAGACAACTTTTAAATAAATATTTGCATTTTACAGGACAATAAATAAATTAATTAATATTTCAATAAATATTTTTGAAATGGCGAAAATGTCTTAAAATTTTTTTCTATTTTACTGTATAAATTTTACTCCTTGTAATTAATTATTTTTTCTACTTTACGCTTTTTTAATAGCATTAATTTTTAATTTCATTAAATTTACGCTTATATCATTAAACTGTTTTATTTTATCACATATTTATTACCTACATTATTCCGTGTCGACATTTTATCGATAGTTTTTTGTCAAGCACTAGCGTATATGAGTTGAGTGTGTTAGCTACCCGCAAGGAGTGGGGAGACTAGCGGCGGCAGTGGTACTGCAAGTAAATTGAAACAAAGGCATTTCTATTCCGCTATATTAGCTGTTCTGTGTTAGTAGCATTGACAGCGTCTGCTCTGCGCAGTCCTATTTCATAAAACAGCTCTGAACAGTCGACAGTACCCCTAACAATATTTAAAAGGTAACACAGATCTGTTTTTATTCGTTCGAAATTCGAATAGAGGAAGTATAATTTGAAACTTTTTACAGCTATCATAGTAATCAAGGTATGTAAGTACTAATTAATAACTAAGTATATTGAATATTTTGTCATTATTATGCTGTAGATATTATAATATTAAATTTACAGTCACGCAGTTCATTAGTTTAATATGTATATTATTATACTACAGGCATATTAGGTAATAACTATTAAGTTTTATCTATGACATAAAAGGCATGTTATTCCTTTGTATAAAATCAGTTATTCTCAAGTTTCTCTGCGTTTTATTTTTTTTGCAACATCAAATAAATAAAACTAAACACTAAACAAATAAAATATCAATGTTTGTAATGACGATAATTACACTACCTACTATCGAATGAGGAATGAACGCTACGTGTGCGATTGTTGGTTCAATCAATTTTATTCGAAAATTTTCGACATCTGAAAAACTCACGTGGTCGCCCGGAGAATAAGTTTAATGTCATCAAGTTTAATGACAAACTGAAGGCGAATGTGGAAGCATACGTCTCAAACTATAGCCGAGCTAACGACGAATTTTGATAGGTGTTAAACAATATTCTATCATTTGCGGCAAATCAGTGAAATAAAGACAAAGCAAATTGTACTTCTCGAACTGAGGAAGTGAAAAGCCGAAGATGTACCTAGTAAAGAACGTTTTTAAACAGTTTAACAATTCTCGTGCAGAAGACTGTGTGTTATCTATAACAAGGCCATCAACAAACCGCTCATAAAATGGCAAAATGTTTAAGCAAATATTTCAATAAGTTTCTCTTATTGAAAAAAAATTAATTCAACCACAGAAATCTAAATAATATTGCCTTATTACTTACATTTCAGTGGGTATAACATACAAAATGGCTATTTCATTGGTAGAGACTTAATATTAACATTATCCAATGATATTATATAAAGGAGGTAGATATATCATATTTATACGCGCTCTAAGTATTCCCATAAAGACGACTTAAAAGTCGTCTTTTGTCCTATTGTACCAACTTAGATAAAATAGATCAGAAGTTTAGGTTAGTTATCTATCTCTTTTACTCTAGAGGCCTTAATATCTTCATTCACACTCATTAGCGCAACTTGTAAGCATAGCGTAGGTACATAGGTATTTGACGCCATTTTGATGACAGTATCTTTAGTAAAATATCCTTGGTGATATTAAACAAACCAGGTTCTTCCGATAAATTAAAGAATTAATGTCTTTTGTTAAATATTCTTTAATTACAAAACATAAAACGTTATTATACGATAATATTTTATGAGTTTACTTAAAATACGGATGTAATTAAAATAATTTAAATAAAATGAATGGTAAAGTAAGGGGTGTGAAGTGAAGGGGAAAGTAATCCATTAATTTCAATAATTATAACAATTACAAATGGACATCATGTAAGGAGCATATAAATAATTTTAGTACTAGTGCCAACAATTATAAAATGATACTATAGTACGTCAGGGTAATTGGTCATCCCTTTAATATGGTCACTTTCTTAGAACTAAAAAAACTACAACCTTGTTTGCAGAGATGGCTCAATGAAACGACAGCTCTTCATCGGTCAACCAAATAATAAAGCTGAGAACAAACTATCGGGCGCGTCCGTCAGCTGCAGCTGACAGACGCGGCTTATTGAAATCTAGCCAGTACCTACGTCTGGAATGACAGCCTACAACAGGCACAGCAGGAAGATTGGGACATCAAGCCGATTCTGGAATGGATGAAGGCCAGTGTCCCTAAGCCCAAGTGGAGCGATCTCAGCGATAAGTTCAACCATGAAAAGCTATTGGGCCCTAAGGGACAGCTTACTGATTCAGGATTGAGTCCTGTGCCGTAAATGGGAAAATCGTCGGGGAGACAACTGTCATTTGCAAATGGTTATCCCTAAAGCAAAAGTACCGGATGTTCTACAGCTGTACCATAATAGTTGTTCAGGAGGCCATCTGGGAGTTAATCGAACTCTACTGAAAATCCGAGAACGATTTCACTGGGTCCACTGTCATGACGATGTCGAGGACTGGTGTCGCAAATGTACAAGTTGTGCGGCTGTCAAGGGACCTCAGACTCGTATTAGAGGTGCATTTAAATTATACAATGTTGGTGCACCAAGGGAGAGGATAGCCCTTGACGTTGCGGGGCTGTTTCCGGTAATTAAAAGTGGTAACAAATATTTCATGGTTGAGATGGATTACTTCACTAAGTGGCCAGAAGTTTTCGCCTTTCCAAATCAAGAAACTTCAACAGTTGCAGATAAACTAGTTCATGAAGTCTTCTGTCGTTTTGGAGTACCTTTAGAGATTCACAGCGATCAAGGAAGGAATTTTGAGTCTCAAATATTCCAGGAAGCTTGTCGACTCATGGGTACTCATAAAACAAGAACAACTTCTTACCACCCACAATCTGATGGAATGGTAGAACGATTTAATCACACATTGGAGAGGTACCTAGCAAGAGTTGTGGAAAATCGGCAACGAGACTGGGATAAGCACATACAACCGCTTTTGTTGTTATATCGAAGCGCTGTTCACGAAAGTACATCAGTGACACCAACTTTCGCAAACTTTGGAAGAGAATTACGGCTGCCTGCAGACATGATCACCGGAATACCACCTGATGCCCCACGCAATATTACCGCTTATACAAATGAATTGTGGAACAAAATGAATGACATTTATGAGCACGTCAGACAATCTTGCCAGCAAATGTCTGAAAAGATGAAAACCCGGTATGACCGCATAATGAACAACAAAGGGTTCGACGAAGTTCGCAGCAAAGGGAAATCTCCTAAGCTTCAAGCTAAATGGGACGGACCGTACCGGATTGTGACAAGGATCAATGACGTAACCTACTGGATACAGAAAGATGCAAGAGGTACTCCTAAGATTGTCCATGTGGATCGACTGGCGCACTATTATGGGGCTGATAATGCTCGGGACGAGCATTTCTTAGGCCGTATTCAGTGCTCTCCTGACGGTCAGGACTGACGTCAGTCTGCCGTAGCTATCGCCATAGAAACCATGCGTGCATTCAGAGCAGCACTGACCGCGTCCGCATACGCAATACTGACAGAGACGGTCAGTCGAGCGCGTCGGTGCTGCGTACGTCAGGTGACTGACGCGCTATGCAATGCTTCAGAGCATTTAGTGCGTTGCGGAAGCGGGACTCGAACGGACGTTAGCGTGTACAATCATGTCGAAACATAACATCGACACTGAACGTGTGATAACAGAAGTTCGAATAAGACCACCTTTGTGGGATCTATCTCACGATTTATTCAAAGATAAAGATGCCAAGCTTCAAGCATGGTTTGGAGTGTATAAAGCTCTTTTGCCCGATTTTAATGATTTGTCTGAGAATGATAAAAAAGACTTTGGTAAGTAAAAAAATGTGTTTATTAAAAATATTTTTTATTGAATATACAAGTATCTAAATAATAACAATCAAAATATAGAATCATCTTGCCACGGAATTGCGCCAACTTCAGAAACAAAGTAATTAGCAAATTTATCTCTCAAAACATCACCGGATCTGACAACCGAGATGTTGTTAGTGTTGGTATTATTTTGAAATCCTTCAATAGTTAGCGTATCCTCAAATTTATAGCCATCTCTTTCTCTAATGTAGTTGTGCAAAATACAACAGGTTTTAACAAGTTTAATAGCATTCGGCAGTGAGTGATTTATTGAGCGTTGGAATATTTTAAATTTATTGGACATTATTCCAAACGTCGATTCAATGTACCTTCTCGCCCGACTTAATCTATAATTAAATATTTTCTTTTTATGTGTCATATTGCTGCGAACATAAGGTCTTAAGACTTTATTCGATATTCCAAACGCTCCATCGCCTATTAGCACATATGGCATTGGTTCAGTGGTATTAGGTAATGGCTTAGCACTTGGTAAATTTAGTTCTCCATTATGTAATTTTGTGTACAAACTAGTATTCTTGAAAATTGTTGAATCAGAGTCTGACCCACACGAACCAACATGTATATATGTAAAACGATACTCTGAATCACACATTGCTAGTAGATTGATGGAAAAATGCTTCTTGTAATTTAAAAATAAGCTACCGCTCTTTTCGGGACAAACAATTCTCACGTGTTTGCCATCTAGGCATCCTACACAATTCGGAAAGTTGGCAACCTGCTCAAATCCTGAAGCAATTTTAAGCCAATCTTCAGGGAACCTAGGGAGCGAAAGACATTCACTGTGAAGCACATTCCAAATAGTCAGGCAAACTTCTCGAACAATGAGACAAATAGTTGATTTGCCAAGTTGATAACTGAAATGTAAGTCCGAAAACGTTTGTCCAGTTCTTAAGTACCTGGAACAAAAAACACAATTTTGTTTATTTATTATTTACAGAAAAAAGTGTACAACAAAGATGGAGAACTGCGAGAGATGCTTACATGAGATGCAAAAATTCTATGAAATCTGTGAAATCGGGATCGGAAGGCGGAAAGAGAACCAAATACGTATTTTTCAAACATTTACAGTTTCTTGACAAAAAACATGTTGCCGACACCGAAGATTCTATTGAAGAAAATGAAACAAGAGAAGATACACAACAAGATTCAAATTTAGAGTCTCCAATCAATCCACGTTCTACTGAAACAGTATCCACCAATCCAGAAACCCAACCACAGTGTTCCAGCCAAGTTAGACAAGATTCTTCAAACACAACTAAACAATCTAGCTCTACTCCTAACACAAACCCATCAAGGAAGCGTAAAAACGCAAAAACTAATGAAGACAGCTACTTCGTTAAAAACATCTTGGAGTTTTTAACAAAAAACAGCGAAATTATTCAAAATGACGATATGGCATTTTTTTATTCTCTTTTACCTTTAACACGGACATTCGACAATCGTCAAAAAGTTATGTTCCGTACTGCAGTAATGAATAAAGCCCTGGAAATTTGTAACTGCCCTTCGTCTATCACTCCTCTTGCTTCACCAATGTATGCATCTACCTCTCGCCCTGAATCTTCTACTTCCAGCATGAATATAGCATCACCAGAATCTCTACCATCAGGATCTCAAGACATAGTTTTGTATTCAGTTGAAGAACCTTCGTCTCAAAATGTAGTGAGAACTAATCCAAATATCGCACATACATCACAAAATTCGGTAATCACATCTTTGTCTGCTTCCAGCTTCAATATACCATCACCAGGATCTCGAGACATAGTTTTGTATTCAGTTGAAGAACCTTCGTTTCAAAACGTAGTGACAACTAATCGTAATTTCGCTTATACGAGCACATCACAAAATTTGGAAAACCCATCATCTGATTTGTCTCAGTATATTAATTTTAAGCAATGACTGACAATCACATGATACTGATAATACTGATTGCATTCCCTAAATTACTTAACTGATTGTATTACCTAAATTACTTATTAAACTTAGCACATAAACATGTTTAATTTGCCTATTTCATATTTAAAGGTCTCTAATTTCATATTTAAAAGTACTCTATGTAAGGGTGCCAGCCATTCTACCCATCAATTTTATCCAACAAAAAGAGAAAGCTGACTTTTATGTTGATATTATTAGAAAAATGCACTGATATTTAGATCAAAGAAATTTGATGAGTGGAATAGCACCCGACTACGAAAATATTTTCGATTTTATCTTACCTCAATGTCACAGCAAGTCTTTCAACGGGTCGTACTGGAATCCTAAACATGTTATGATGTTTAATATGATCCTGAATTCTTGCCAGCAGTTCATCAAAACTTTTTACTGACATCCCAAAATAATCAGAGAATTTTTCATTATAATTTCTAAGTTTTGAAAACAGAGTACTGAATTCTCCTTCAAGTAGCCTGTTAGCAATAACTGGATGTACGTGATATCTTCTTCGTTTTTTTTTCATTCGTAATCGCCTCAAATAGTAAAGAGTAATTAAACAATTTATAAACGGATACATCACGACTATACCCTGCTGTTCCGTACGGTGGTCAGTGGAGCACTGAATGCATAAAGCCGACTGACGGTCAGTGCGTGCGTACGCACTGACCGTCAGTCCCGACCGTCAGGAGAGCACTGAATACGGCCTTAGGAGGGGGCATTGTTGCGCGCCACAATTAATGCCTGGTACATGGCGACACTAGTTACCACTAGCGCCTTCTAGTATCGTGTAGCAGAACTAAGAGAGTCAAGATCCTACTAGAAATTTCCATGGAAGAACTTTCTAGAACTATCGACACCTAGTCAGTCGGGACTGTATGTACTCGAACATTCTAAATGTTTCTACAGTAGAACGTTCTGGAACTATCTGATGCTCTATGTAAGGCCGGTAGAGACCACGACTCAAGGCAATATTGAATAGGCGATACAAGCGAATACTTCGAGGCGATACAACTGCGAACTAAAGTGATCAGTAGTACAATTGTGTTTTGTTATTAGTGTGGTTTTAAGTTGTAATTAGTGTTCTGTAATTAAAATATCAATTTTGGTAATTCACTCGGCAATTTTTAATTGTCTCGAACCCAAAGCTCGTAATAATACACAATTAGAATTTTTAACCATAGATAAATATGTATGTTAAGTTATTAGTAAGTGCTTTGACAGTTTTTTTTTTATATTTTAGCTCTAGATGACATGACCCAACCGCTTTTTAAAATTGACTTGCTGGTAAATACGGTTCGAAGAGAAGTTCCATGCTCACTGGGAGATATTTCAAATATAACAGACCTTGAAACTCCATCCACATCTAAAGACATACATAGTCTGCAATATCATCGGATGAAATGAGTAAAAATAAGTAGAAGCCTTGACTTTCTTATTTATAATTTACTAAAAAAAAGAATAATTTTTAATTTATGTGCCCGTAGCATTGAAACAGGGAACAGATGACCAAAGAAAATTATTTGTTTATAACTTTAACTTGCAAAAACTACTTAACTTCCTTTTAAAAAAATGCATTTTCCCATCCCAGTTGAATAAAACAAAGTGTATCACTCTTGATAAACTTCCTGCTGAATAAATAGAACAAATTGTTCTAACTAAACATTAACATTTACACAATGTTTGGCAACGAAATAACTGGTTGCAGTATAGTTATCAATGTTATCATTAGTACAATATTAATCATCAAATTAACAGAAAACCAGACACAATAGGAAATCTATTGTACTCTATCCATCAGTGGTCAAATACCATTCAGAAGTTTTACATTAAGGCTTACCCTCTATATCTTTATATGATTACTTTTTTTAATATTAAGACTGTAATGTACTACTACATATCTCTTAGTCTATTTAATATTTCAATAATTATTTTGTATTCTTAAATAGAAAACAGTAGTTATTCAATTCTTTTTCAGACACATATAAAGCTAAAAAACAAATGCAGAGAAAAGTTTATAAACTTGAAAATGAAAGAATTGAGTGATAAATACAAAACTCAATCTAAGAAAATTAAACATGCCAAGAATTTGTCACAGTCAAAATTTTTTCTAAAATATATAGAAATGCTTCCCGAGTCTATACAAATTTTTACGAAGATGTAAATGAAAATGAAATATAAACCCAGGGGAAGAAGGTATACTACTGACGAAAAAGTTATGGCCCTATCTATATTTAAACGGTGCCAAAGGTGCTTCTATATATTTAAATGAAAATTATCTCCTTCACCAAGGTTTGCCTGGAAGAGATCGCTGTTTAGCGATAAGGCCACCTAATTGTACGAGGGTGGATTGAAAAGTACTCGGCCTAACACAGATCCATTCAATTCTAAAAATCAAATCTACCCACATTATTTAGTTCAGTTCAGACTAGTTCATTGTGTGAAGTTCGAAACGTGTGCGATAATTAGTTGTGATTTTATAAATTTATTAACAAAGTAATCGGACATAATTTCCGCGAATGGGGCAAATCGAGCAGCGTGCCGTCATTAAGTACCTCCATAAGAAGGGGCTATCATCAAAAGCCATCCATGATGACATGGTCAGTACATTAGGCGATTGTGCTCTGTCATATTCATCCGTCAAAAAATGGATAGCAGAATTTAAGCGTGGTAGAGAGAGTGTGAAAGATGAACCCCGCTCTGGAAGGCCTTCGACGTCAACTACTGACGAAAATATTAAAAAAGTACTTGATTTAATAATGGGAGACCGCAGATTAAAAATTAGAGAGATAGCCGAGATTATAGGCATCTCTTATGAACGAACTCAAAACATCATTGTCAACGAGTTGGGTTTCCACAAGGTGTCTGCGAGGTGGGTTCCGCGACTGCTTTCAGTTGAACAAAAAAGGACGCGATTGACTATTTCACGCGACTGTTTGGAGTTATTTGAAGCCGATGCAGATGATTTTTTGAATCGTTTTGTTACTATGGACGAAACATGGGTTCATTACTGTACACCGGAAACAAAACAACAATCAAAACAGTGGAGAAGACCTGGTTCACCACCCCCTAAAAAGGCTAAGTCGATTTTGTCGGCAAATAAGGTGATGGCTTCAGTATTCTGGGACTCGAAAGGTGTAATTATGATTGATTATCTTGAAAGGGGTCAGAATATAAACTCCGATTACTACTGCACCTTACTACGTCGTTTACGAGAGGAAATAAAAGAAAAACGTCGAGGAATGCTTAGAAGAAAAGTCCTGTTTCATCAAGATAACGCCCGTGTTCACACGTCAGTACAGTCAATGGCTGAAATTCACAACTGTGGCTTTGAACTGTTACCGCATCCGCCGTATTCACCTGATCTGGCACCATCAGACTTCTTTCTGTTCCCTAACCTAAAAAAGCACTTGGGAGGTCAAAGATTTTCGACAAACGACGAGGTCAAAGCAGCTGTAGACGCATATTTTGACTCTAAGGAAGAATCATTTTTTTTCAACGGTCTAAATGCTTGGAAGGGGAGGTGGCAAAAGTGTATTGAACTTGATGGTGATTATGTAGAAAAATTAAAATATAACTGATTTAGTATGTGTTTATTTTCTTGGTTAGGCCGAGTACTTTTCAATCCACCCTCGTACATTCGTTTATAAATTTAAGTTTACTGTGTTTGTGTAGTATTTTGTGTGCAATAAAGAGTATAAATAAAAATAAAATAAATAAACAGTGCCAAAGCATACAATGTTTTTAAATAATTTTTTGTTGCCTTCAAAAAGGTGTTTGCAAAAGCAATTAAGCGTAATTTCATTGAGGCCTGGAATAAATCGTCAAATATTTAAGCATATAAAGAAGACGGTTAAAAATCTTCCTATGGAAAAACGACTCCCTCTCTCTATCATCTTTGAAGAAGTAGCTTTGGAACCAGGACTTCATTTTAATAAAGGTCAAATTATTGGGTTTGAAGATTTTGTTCACAAAAATACTAACCAAATTGCCGACCAACGACCATGCACTAGCTTTTATATTGAAGAGCATAAAAAGAAAATTTAAACAACTAATATGTTACACATTTTGCAAAAGCTGCACCAAAATGACGATTTAAAATATTTAATAAAATCACTTATCACAGAAGTGCACAAGACTGGTCTGAAAGTTATTGTTACAATATGTAACTAATCGCAATAAAATATAAGTGTTGTCAAAAGTTTGATAGAGGATACCAGGAGATAATATTTAAAACAAGAAATTGAACACAAGTCTTGTTCTTTTGAAATAGAGAATTGCAAGATATTCCCACTTTTCGACACTCTACACTTTTTTAAAAAGAATGCGTAATAATTTATTAAATAAAGATGCAAAATTTATAGAAAGTGTAGAAAAAATTGCAAAATGGGAACATATTAAAATGTTATTTAATGAAGATGTCGGAGAACACGAATTACGACTCGTCAATAAATTGACAGAATTTCATATTTTTATAAATAAAATACCGAAAATTAAGGTCAAATATGCAGCTCAAGTTTTTATTCAGTGTCATCTGCGATAAGATTTTTCGCAAGTAAGTATTAATCATTTCTTTTTTCTTTGGTACTGGACTTGTTCAGTTGTACTTGTGCCAGTGACAAGTATATTATGAATTTTCCTTTATATTAATTTGTTTCAAAACATCTTCACAATAAGTTAATGTGGCACATTGTGAAGTTTTTGGGAGAATTTGAGGCAGCTTGTGTCAGCAGCCACAGTCTCGAGGCGCCTAAACCGCCGAGCCACCATCACCATACCCATACCACCATCAGCATACCAATATCACCATCGGAGCATTTGTTTCATCGTTTCCATGCACTGTTCTCAGTTCACATGCGCATACATCTAATATACAAAATTTATTTAAAAAAATCTTTTATGTATCAAAATCTACTTCAAACCAAATAAAAACACTTATCTGCGAGGTTTATTAAGCGAAAAATCTGAAATAATTGGGGTTGATAAAAAAAAAAAAGCAGCAAAAATCATTTACAAACAAACTTAGTAATTAATGCGCTCCCCAGAATGACCTATTTCTGAATTGTTATTTTTCTTTATACATTATAATATATTTATTTATACAAGAAACTTTTACTTACAAGGTTAATGATGTGACTAAATAGAATTGTTACTGATAATTGGCTGAATGAATAGAAGTAAGTATATAGTTATAGGTAAAGTTGAGGAATAATGAGTGAATAAATATATTTATTCACTCATATTTGTATCTTTATTTACTCATTATTCCTCACTACTTTTTATAATTTCGTTAGGTAGTAAATATCTTATTCTAATCACTTCAGCTATTCACATATTTAACAACTAACTGTTAGAATCCTTGTAACTCGGAAGTTAATACAACTTTGTGTTTTTCAGGCCACAAAGTACTACCCACCGAGTGTCAAAACACATATGTTTCCCCCCATGTAAGCTTATGGAAAGAACTTGTTCCAATTATAAAATCAATAAAATTTAAAACAGTTATTAAAAATAAAGATGGCAGATTAAATTGGGCGGCGAATATTGAAACTTTCCTTAAAATGTGGGAAATGCTCCAAAAGGAACATAATGTAACTAGTTTGTTAAGGAGAAACTTTAATCAGGACTTTAATTACAAAATTTCTTATGTTGTATTCGAAATAACGGTGTTTGAAACACGAATCCCACCTATGCTCAATTTATAAACGCATATAAAACGCTTTTGGTCTATAATTTAAGTTCACCCCACTCTGTAAACGCGAACTGTGAAGCAGATGATAATATATGCTTACAATCATTATTATATCTTTTGAAAAGTACAGCAGACAGTGTTCCACAAGAGGAAAATATTAATTTCAATATTGACTTATTAACAGAAAGATGGAATAAAGCTTGTGACGAAGATCAACATAATATAATACACAGTGAATCGAAACGATATGTCACAGGGTATATATTTAAAAAATGCCAAACAAATATTTTAATAAAGCAAAGTATGCAAAATCTACCACACGTACGCAACAAGAGCAAGAGGTTCCCACTTGCTCTTGTCATTCTGACCAACGTGCCAGAGGCAAAAACTTCTGGCAGGTACGCACCGTGTGCGACCTATCGAAAGTTAAGAAGTTAAGGTCGAGCCTCCCCATAGGCGCGGTCATCCGGCGCAGTGCCACCGCTGCCAACTTTATGGGCATACGGCCGGCTTACTGCTCAGCCCCCCCCCCCACCAGGTTCGTCAAGTGCCTCGACCCACACAGCTCAAAAGAGTGCCCTCGGCTCCGTAATGCCGAATCCCCACCCGCGTGCGTCCTATGTCAGCAGCCTGGCCACCCGGCTAACTACAAATGCTGCCCTCGCGATCCTCGCCCCCGTCCTACCAAAGCTGCCAAACCAGCTCCACCTCCAGTCAATGTTAATTCATTCCCGGATCTCTTAGTAAAAATGCCCCGTCAGGGCATTTTTCTGCCCCTCAGAGTCCCCGTAGGCCCCCTCAGGGTCCCCCTAGGCCCCTCGGGGCCCTCCTCGGTCCTCTCCGGGCTTCTCTCAGCCCTCACCACTTTCAGTTTACCCTTGGGGCCCTAAAAAGGCTGACCCCATGGACTCCCACCGCCCCACACCAGGCACAATCCTCACTTGCTGATGACCTGATTACAGTTTATTCTGTTACTCGGAGCATCGACATAGGGGAGATTGCCATCCTAGCACGCATACTGGGCGCTGCTCATTCCCCTCAGGACCATCTCCTTGCTCTTGCTGAGCATCACAACCTTTTGTGTTCTTTGTAAGTTAATTTAATTTAACTTAATATAATTTCAGAGCCTTCTGCTCTCACCAAGTCTCTCGGTCGTATTAAGCCTAAGGGTTTATACCTTGTTTTCTTTAATATCCTCGGTTTGCGTAATAACCTCCTTCAGCTTAAGCTCTTTCTTCGAGATCGCGAAGCCGACCTCTGAATCCTCCAGGAGACCAACATCAAACCTAAGGACCTCAAAGGCGTCTCCATCAATAAGTATTCTATTCTTCGTGACGACAGAAATTTGAAGAGGAGATGTCATTTTTATTACCTTTTATGACGCATAGGAACATTATATCTAATATCGGTGAGAGCGAAGAAAATCAAAATTCTGGTACAATAAATGAAGACTCGAACGAAAATAACACACAGCGGGGGAAACGGAAAAATAACAATAATTATCACGCACTGATCTTAAATGTGATGAAAGCAACAAGTCAGAGTAAATCAGAAAAAGGTGACATTAACTTATTCTTTGAAACAATGACTAATACAGTCAAGAAATTCCCTAGAATAGAGCAAGTTAAATTAAAATTTGATATAATGAAAATGGTACATGAAAAGAAATGAGATGGCTGGATTCTCCGACAGAATCTTCTGCTTCTTCAAGTAGGATGTCAACACTATTACCTCAACCGTTCATTCGCCGCAAGTCTTCTTCTTACTTAAGTGAACAATCTACCTCGCCTTCGTACTTACGTCAATCTTAATTCTCACCTCAGAGCACCCAACGATCACCTTCTCCTCTCACTCAACAAGTTTCCTCTCCTGTGTACGTATCACATTTTTTAACGTCTCCCCTTACCAATCACCTCCTTTCACTAGAAAATCTGCCTCACCTTCTTACGTCCCGGAGTCTTCACCCTCACTACAGAATACCCACCAATCACCTCTATTTATTCGACAGTCTGCCTTACCTTCATCCGTAGAACAGTCTTCATCCTTACCTCAAAACACCCTCCTATCATTTTCTTCCACTCGATCATCTGCCTCGCCTTCGTCTGTACAGCAGTCTTTATCCTCACCTCAGAACGTCCTCCCCTCACCTTCTTTCATTCGACAATGTGCCCCGTCTTCATCTGTACAGCAATCTTAACCAACTGCTCCGAGCACCCATAAATCACTTCCCACTCAACAGTTTTGTTTCCCTCTGTCCTCTAACATAATCCAGCCATCTACTTCACAAATGCCCTCCATGCAATTCAACTCTCAATAATTACTGCAGACAACGCAAAATTCTGTTATTGACCTTTCCATGCCAACTTCAGAAGAATTATATGAAGTAGACGAGACAGCATCCATGAACATGAGCCAGGAAAGCAGCAGTGTGATATATATGAAGGCCCAGCAAAATCACTTCTTGAATATTTGATCATCAAAAAACCTTAATAAATAAGCAAATTAAATTGAGCACATTCGTTGTATTATTTAGGTATATACCTACCTCAAAGTCACCACTAGACGCTCCTTTGCAGATATATAGGTTTCCGAAACTGTGTCATTTGTTTTTCGATATAATTTTCAATCAGACTAAGCAGAAAATTTAATTGGTCTTCATTCATTCTTAAATACATTTTGTAAAGTTTATCATCTTTTTGTAAGTCGAAATACAATGTATGAAATTCACCTACTCGAGTCGTTTTACATTAATATCGTGAACCGAAAATCCTTTCTTTGGAGGACAACATAAGGCAGCAGCCGCTAACACTATAAATTCGTCCTCGCTGTCGTTGCTTGTCATGTTTCTCGATTGATAATGACCGAAACGAGTCGTCCGAAGACGCCGTCTGTCAGCCGCGGCTGACGAAAGGGACAAAGGGGCGCTGCTTAACGACGCCATTTTGACAGTTGACTTTATAGTATATATTTTAGTCGATTTTAGTATGGTGTAGTGTAGTTAATTTTTTTAAGTAAATATTTCGATGTGTTCCTAATTGTTGCCAATGCTTGTTTGCTACTTTTTTTTTCTTAGTATATTAGTTATAGTATACGATTTTGTGTTTTCGTCTCTGTCATTCTGCCAGTCTTGATTTTATAGAGCGGCAAAGCTTAAGGTGACCATATTACCCTCACGTACCTTATCATGTTAAGGGCTATTTTTTTTTGTTATAATGTGTTTGAAACTTGGTTTCGGCGCCCACACTCACTAAGCATCACAGTTTCACAGTCTTTGTGAAGAGGCTATTGTACACGATTAGGCCCACACCAGCTGTTTATGTTTTCGTATTAATAGCTGCGAAAAATATTTATTTGTCATGGCACTAAAGCTGCCATATATTTTAAAAATTCGACGAGAACATTGCGCTGTAAATCAAATTCAACTATGAGATTTAGAAATCCAAATTTGACATTTAATAAGACATATCCGCGGTATAAATTATTTTAATGACATTGTCATGGAGCTTAAGAAACTTAAAAGTGATGCGCGACAGATTATTCTAAAAGTTAAGATTAAGATATCTTATATAAAAAAGGGAAACGTTTACAAGCTCCAATTATACCATTCGAAAAGCTGTATGAACGCGTTGCTGCAAAAACAGGCAGGTCTTGCCAGATATGGAAAAATAAAATCACCAAATTATGTACCTACTTGTGAAACATTAATAAAATTATATCAATTTACTCTAATTTATCTATACCAAGCTTTGCAATTTGTGGTTTGAAAGAAGCTTTAGTGACGGCAATTTACGGGCTTATAACTATACAATAATCGTATGTATTTTTTGTACAGGTATTTCTTTCTGAGCGATTTGTAAACAAACTCGTCAATGAAGAGAAACAAGTTGAAGAATTCAGTTTTATAATTTCTACCCCTGGCAAAAAAATAAAGAAAAACCAGGCAATTAGAAGTTGATAAGTTTGACATTAGTGTTATATAAAGAAAAATTCAGTAGTTCTATACAATGAGAAAAGAAATTCCAACCATACCGAAATTACTGAGTATTCTAAAGAACGGATATTGATTTAAAAGCAGAACGTGAAACTTTTCGAAAATTGCTTCACAAAATAGGATTTCCTTATAAGAAAACGAAATCAAGTAGAAAAGTGTTGCATGAACGTAACTACGTAGTAGAATGGAGGGAAACCTATCCACAAAAAAATTGAAGAAAATGAGTGTGGTGGAAAAGATCTATTATTTATTTAGATGAAACCTACATACACTCGTCTCACTCAACCGGGAAATGTTAACAAGGAATCGATTTGGAACACGTTTCTAAAAGGTAATAAGTAATAGATTTTGGAACCTGAAAGGTAACAGGTAGTAGTCCATGCAATTGGAAGAAAACGTTTAGGTGAAGAATGCTGAAGAAAATATAAAAAGTGAGGACTACCATGATGAAATGAATAACACTAATTTCGAAAAAAGGGTTCATAAAAAATTACCACCTGCGTGATACTAATCTGCATAAACTTTCGTTCATTGTGATGGATAATGCGCCATACCATAGTATTTGAGTAAGTAGATGTTCTAACTCAATCACAATAAGGCTTAATATGCAGAAGTGGTTATTACGAAACAATGTAGATAGCAATCAACAAATGACAAATCCTCAGCTTTATGAGTTAATAAAGAAAAATATACCTGCTCCGGAATAATTCATAATTCATTTATTGTACGTAACAAAGTATAAGTTTGTTACAATATATTTACAGAGCATGCCCTGTACGGGCGTAGCATATTAAGACTGAGTTTAAATGATAATTAACATAGTATTAAATTAAATTACAATATTTACAGTACATTATATGCGAATTATATATATATATATATATATATATATATATATATATATATATATATATATATATATATATGATATGAAATTGATAATCGATGAAAAATCATGGTCATATTATTCTTAAATTACCGTCTTGTCATTACGACTTGAACGCAATCGAAATGATAATATGGAGCTCTATTAAAAGAAACATAACAGACAAAAATGTTGGAAAATCTAGTGTTCAAATGATAATAATTTTATTGACACACACAAATAACAATTTTACAATTTGATTACTTTTAGTACAGAATACGAAATGTGCAAACAGTGATCTTTGACTCCTGGGCTAGGAAAGCCTGTGTTACATTGAGTCAATGCTCTCCGTATCTCTTGTCTATATTTTACATAACATATTAATGCCCTAATTCTTGAGGTGTATAAATAGGTTTCACAAAGAGGTATATAAAGCCGTTTTAAAAAACTTGGCGCCACCAGTATGTAAAATGTCAATATCGTAAGGTTAGACATCTGTCAACAACATAACCTTGAAATATAAGTGAATTTTTATCACTATACTATATTGTTTTGTGTGCGAAAACATCGAGTTTTGAGCCGAATAAGCGTCATTTGCGGGAACTTTTGATTTACTCCTTCAATTTTAAGAAATCTGAAGCTGAGGCGCATCGATTGTTTATAGATGCATAATTATGGTGAGGCTGCCCTAAGTGAGAAAAGTTGCCGTCAGTGGTTTCAAGTTTAAGAACGGTGCATTTGACATCAAATATAAAGAACGTAGCGGAAGGCCGAAAATGTAATAAGACGCGCAATTGGAAGCATTATTGGAGGAAGTTTCGTGCGAAACGTACCAAAAACTCGATCTACCGAACAGAATTGATGAGATTGAGTCAAGCACTCAAGGAAAAGCGACCCACCACTACCCCAGACACGACAAAGTTATTCGTCCACATGTTGCGTCGCCGGTCAAAACCCATTTAGAAATACACGAATGGGAAGTTTTACCCCACCCGCCGTATTCACCAGATATTGCTCCTTCTGATTTCCTCTTGTTTCGATTGGTGACGCATGGCCTGTCTCAGCAGCACTTCCATTCTTATGAAGAAGCTAAAAATTGGGTTAATTCGTGGATAGCTTCAAAAGATGAAGCATTCTTCCGACGCGGTATCCATATGTTGCATGAAAGATGGGAAGAAGTAGTGCCAAGCGATGGACAATACCTCGAATAAAACATAATGTTCCGTTCTTTCACAATAAATGCCCAATTTTTGATTTTAAAAAAAAACGGCGGAAAGTTATTTGTACACCCAATAATTAAAAATGCATTCCATAAAATTACATCGACGGAGTGAAAAATCTAATGTCGTCGTGTGACAAGATATTGAAAAAGAATATAGACACGTTATTATCGGTTCCTGTGGCCCTAGACAAGTGGCAATCGCTTCGTGTCTAATCCATTTCGAAAATCGATTTCGTCTTAGCGATATCGAACGTAAACGTAAAGTGACATCGGCAAACCTAACCTAAAGCTAAGTCGAAGCGTTCTTTCGATAAAAAACAACTTCTTGACTATGGTCTCGAAATGAAACGTCAAATTCAAGGTGCGTCAAATATAAACAAACTATTTTTGATAACTTGCTAAAGTCAAGCTTGCTTCGTGAAAGTGCAGTTATTAAGGTAAGTTCCTTAACTTCGTAAAATAATTGTGAGAACCAAAATTACACAATTTTGCTGAATATCAATGATTGTATAATATTACATATTTCTATCGATTAACAAACGGGAACTGACAGGTTTTTTTCTTTTTTTTAAGGATAATTACAATGGAACCACGAGTGCGAGCCAGTGGTGAACAATTTTCAACCCTTTTGAAGTTCATAGCAAGGTAAGAAAGTATTCACCTAAACCATGAACTTAATCAAATTCAAATCACTTGAGAATGCTCTAACAATTCGTTGCTTATTGCCCTATTCTTTGTTCAATTGCAGTCACGGCGATCTATCTAAGGGCGCTTGAAATCTGAGCGGCTGTAGTGCGAGTTGGCGGCAATATTAAACTCAATCCGTAATGGAGTAACATAGACAAGGTGGAAAAAGGTAACAATTCAACAGCTATATATAGTAACACCCGTAGTTATAAAGAAGTAATTACTTGTTGCCAAGTGATTTCTTAATTAAGTCATTACTTAAAGTTAGAATTCTTATTTACAAAATCTCATTCTATAGTTGAGTAATACACGTTACTTACTTGAGCAAATGCCCAAGTAAAACTCGACGCTTTGTGGTTGTTTCTGTTTGGCAACACTTCGTGACTGCGTTTAGTATCATGAAAAGGCAAACATAAGCTAGATTATTTTTACAAACTCTTGCAATAATATCTTTGATATTACTTTATCTGATATTTATAATCAATAACGTTGTATAAAGTAGTTTATATTGTAAAAAAGTTTATTACATCATTATTGTCATTTAATTTTGGCAGTACAAAAAAAAGAATGCTTTGAAAAACAAAACGTGTGACATGTTATAACTCTTGTAAATTTAAATGTTCACTGTTTACACGTGGACGTTGACACGTGATTTTTTACTTAGAAAGATTATACATACATTCATTGCCGTCAATTAATACCGTAAACCAGGATGCTCCAACTTTGTATGAAAGCTGAAAAATCTGCACACAATCATGATTTTGTCAATGGACGTGTTGGGCTTGAAAAATAAAGCTAGAAAAAATATCGCTGTTTCTTTCCTTCATGTTGTTTTTTAGATTGCCATTTTAAAAATTAGATACACAAATTCATATTATATCGGAAGATATTAAAAATGTTAATTCTGTGTTAAGCTTTTTTTGGTTTGCTCGTTATAGTATAATTACATACATATTACTCTGAAATTTGCACAATTAATTTACCTATTAATTCATTTAAATTAAATTATTTAATATTAGCAGAATTCTATCAAAAGAAGCCATGAATTAATACAGGATGTCCCGTGGCAGATTTAGGATTTGAAATTCGAATATTTTTGCAACGGTTGCGAGGGGGACCGGGGAGGGGTGACAGTTTGGCGCGGCATTTGTGCGGATTGTTCAGTCACGATGTCGCAGTGGACTGGCGCGCACCACGCTTTCGCAGTTGAAGCGTATTTTGAAGCTAACAAATCGTGCACTGTTGCTTGCCGGAGATTTTGTTCTCACTACAATATTCGTCGCTTAAGTGAAGCACCGAGTGAGTTTGATTTTGACGTGGGTCCTGAAGCTCCGTGCAACAGGTTCAACAGTTAACGAGCCACGCCCAGGTTCTAGCCGAACGTCGAAGACTGCACAAAACATTGAACGCGTTGCAAACAGCGTGCAAGAAAATCCCCGCCAGTCCGTGCGCAAGAGAGCGTCAAGTTTGCGGCTTCCAAAAACCACGGTGCACCGTATTTTAAGCTTGTACATAAAATTCCACCCCTTCAAGATCCAATTGGTACAGGCACTTAAACCAAATGACTAAAGAGAACGCAAAGAGTTCTGTGATAACATGTTGAGCCGATTCCGTACTGTTAACACAATTTGGTTAAGTGATGAAGCTCATTTTCACTTGAATGGTTTTGTCAATAAATAAAACTGCCGCTATTGGGCGCAAGAGGACAAAACCCGCGATTAAAACACCAACAAGCATTGCATAGCCCAAAAGTAACTGTTTGGGCAGCTCTTTCTGTCAATGGAATAATTGGACCGTTTTTCTTTGAGAATTCTCGTGGAGTAACCGTAACTGTTAATGGTGATGTCTACCGCCGCATGCTTACCGAATATTTTATTCCGAAACTAAGAGAACATCCGTCGAACAGCTCTCACACGTGGTTTCAACAAGATGGGGCCACGCCGCACACAGCAAGAACCACCATGAGTCTCCTTCGCGAAGAATTCCCCGAAAAATTGATTAGCCGATTTGGGGACATCGCATGGCCACCCAGGTCGCCAGATCTCACCCCATTAGATTTTTTTCTATGGGGTTACTTAAAGGGAAAAGTGTACGGGAGCAAGCCGACGGATCTATCGGATTTAAAAGAAAATATCGTGCGAGAAGTGAAAGCTATTCCTCGGTCAGTATTGCAGCGCGTCGCTCAGAATACTCTCGAAAGATTCCGCGAGTGTGTACGTCGCGATGGAAAACATTTGGACGGAGTGATATTCAAAAAATAAAATCCGCATGTCTCGTCTTTCTTTTTATGACAAATATAAGGTAAATATAGGGTTGCGATCATTGGACCGGCACTTTCATTGGACCGCTTCGATATTTTCGAAACGGTTCGATTTTAAGGCCCTGTCCGCACTGCGATATTTCACCGCGCGATTTCTTTCTCGCAATTCTGTAACACATAGAATCTTATAGGAGTAACCGCACTGGCGGCAAAAAAATCGCGCGGGAAATAAATCTGTGATTTTGCCGCACTGCGAAATAAAATCCGCGCGTTTCGCTCAGTCGTGTACTGGCGCTATTGGCAGGATGTCGCGCGTTTCGTCTCCCGCCCGATCGGGAGCCGCAGAGGAGTTAGAAAATGACGACATTGATATTGAGCAATTAATCACGTTGATGCACAGGAGACCTCCCCTGTGGGACAAATTTAATCCAAAGTACCACGACAGAATATTGAAGGCGAAATTGTGGGAGGAAATATATCAAGACATATATTTTAGTTGGGAACAATGCAGTGTTGTTGAAAAAAAACAAAAAGGTAAATATAAAGTATAGTAAAGGATGGTAATTCGGAATACTGCTGGTAATTTGGAATACTGCATTATAAAAATAAAGAAAAGTGCCATCTAATAACGAATGCCTGTATTACGTAGTCCGTGTACTAACAAACAAAGAGGGCGTGACTGAGAAGCAGCCATATTGACAGCGCCGTGACAAACTGCATCGGAGTGAAAGTGCTGTCGAGAAAATTTTTCAAGTAAGTAATAAATCGGCTTGCATCTTGAGTTTAACTTATATTTACATGTTTGTATTTGTACAAATCTATAGTTTTGTGTATCAGTTGTAGAAATCATGGCTTATTTTCGAAATTATTCTAAACACACATTGATAAAAATATTTTAGGTTAAAAATGGTTCTTTTGCTAATTTGGAATACTATAGGTGAAGTCAATTTGGAATATTCCAAATTATGTGCACATTAGTTTGCCTTCTTGTTTCTACTTCTGATTGAAAGGATTCTTTTTAAATATTTATTATTTATTCAAATAGTCTTTTTGATCAATATTATTTAATTTTGTTTTAGTAATGTCTTCGACCACTGCTAACTCTGCCAGTAAATATAAAAAGCGTAAGAAGTAGAGTCAAAATGATATGGCTGCTGCAATATTAGCAGTTCGAGACAAGAAAATGGGCTATTTAAAGGCAGCAAAAACTTATAATGTACCCAGAACCACCTTATTTCGACTTGTTCAAGAAAATGACAGTTTGTTAGAAGATACTCTGACCAAAAAGATAGGTCGCAGACCAGTATTTAATAAGGTTTTTGAGGAAATGTTGGTGAAATATGCCCTTGTTATGGAACAAAAATTATATGGTTTGACTCGAATGGATATGAGAAGGATAGCATATCAACTTGCTGTTAAAAATAATGTGCCCCATCCATTCCATGACGACAGAGCTGGCAGATACTGGCTCAAAGGATTTCTTGCGAGGCACAAGCAAACTTTATCAATACGCAAGCCCACTGGAACATCTTTTGCTAGAGCCAATGGATTTACAAAAGCAAGAATGGACGAGTTTTATCAAAATCTTGAGAAAGTTTATGACGAAAAAAAGTTCACGGCTAGTAGGATTTTTAATGTTGACGAAACAGGACTGTCAATTGTACAAAGCAAATATCTCAAAGTGATTGGTCGCCGAGGAAAAAAGCAAATTGGAGCTATGTCGTCTGCTGAAAGGGGAACTCTCATAACAGTGGTGACCTGTATGAGTCCAGCTAGTGTATTTGTACCGCCAATGATGATTTTCTCGCGCAAAAATAATAGCGACCTATTAAAGAAAGGCTCTCCTGAGGGTTCTATTATCCGAGTACATCCTTCTGGCTGGATACAAACACATTTATTCACGCAGTGGTTTGAACATTTTATCGATTATGTAAAGCCGTCCGAATCCTCACCAGTTCTCCTCTTATTTGACGGTCATTTCAGCCAAACAAAGAATATCGAGCTCATAGATAAAGCTAGACTTTGATTTCACTGCCGCCACATTGCACACATAAGATCCAGCCCATGGATAAAGCATTCATGGGGCCACTAAAAAGTTACTACAGTGAAGAAATTCGTATGTGGTTGCGCGAAAACAATAGACCACTTACTGCCTACGATATTTCAGAGTTATTTGGCAAAGCTTATCTAAAATGCCAGACTGGTGAAATTGCAGCAAATGGCTTTAGAGTTGGTGGCATTTATCCATTAAATACAAATATTTTCACGGAATCTGACTATTTCGCAGCAGCACAAGAATCAGCGGATGGCATTGCTGAAAACGAACAAGAAGCACGTAGTCCTATCGCTGCAAGTCCACAAGTCATAAATGAAGCTGGAAATCATTCACCAACCCTATTACAAGGTTTCGATGACAGTCATGTTGATGTTTCGTCAGATAGCAGACAACAGTCAAATGAAATTGTGTCGGAAACAGATCCTCCATCAGTAAACCTTCCTGATATTGCCATGCGAGAAGAACAAGAAAAAGAAAATCTTCCTGAACCTTCTCGTAGTAACCCCATTGTGACACCGTTTCAAATCTCACCAGTTCCTACTTCCAAATATCGGTCATCAAATCGAGGTCGTAAGCCAGGTAAATCTGAAATAATTTCTAGCTCACCCTACAAAAAGCAATTGGAAGAAGCAATAAACAAAAAAAAGCTGAAAAAACCATTTGAAAATGAGTATAAAAATAGAAACAAAGAAAAGAAAACAAAGAGAAATTTAAAAGGATAAGGGAAAGGAAAGGGAAAAGGGAAAGTTCCAAATCAACCAAAAGAAAGATATTTCCAGAAAAAGACACAGAGTCTGATAGTGATGATACATTCGCATCTGATGAATCAGAAGAAGATATACCCTCTTATGCTAATGTGAGACAACCTACAGGAAATGACTGTATTTGTTTTTTCTGTAATGGAAAATTTACCGAAGATCAAAGGGGAGAACAATGGGTGCAACGCTTCACATGCGAAGGCTGGGTGCACAGCGAATGTGCTGGTTATGATTCGGGTTGCTATGTTTGTGATTACTGCAAAGACTAGAGAAAAGCAAAAAAGTAGAATTGATTTAGAAATAAGCATTGATATAGTTTTTTAATTTAAGTGATCTCAGTATCTTGTATCTACAAGATTTAGGCCAGTTAAATGGTTGATTAAAGTTAATTATTTAGGTGATTGTAATTTGGAATACCCTATTCCAAATTTGATTCACTTTATCTAAACTACGTATCCTTTTAATAAGGATATTTTCCAGGATTATGAGTTCGTTACTTTATCTGAAGATAACGACAACTTACCGGCTATTGAGAATGAGAACATGATTGTGGATCCTTTGTTTTCAGAGCTTAATGATGTAGATGACTATGGAATACCAAAAGATGTTACCTCGGATGATCCACCATTTTCGTGCACCAGTGTTGAATCTACTGATTTAAATACGATGCAAACAATACCGTCTGCTTCCAAAACCTCCGTTATACCAAGCCCTGATTTATCGGATAATTGCAACAATATAAATATTCAACCTGAAACGCCAATCATAGCAACAAAAGAAGTAAAACAATGGCAGCCACTTCCAATCACTAGCTCAGAATTTCAAATTTGTAGTGTAACTCCGACTGCAAAGTCATGCAAGAATTGAGAAAAGGAAGTCGTAAACCACAATCGGCAATAGAGTTAACTGCTTCCCCATATAAAACACAATTGGAAGAGTCAAAAGCTAAAGCATCCAAAACAAAATCTGATGCTGAAAAGAGAAAGAAAGTTGCTGCATTAAACTTGGAGGAAACAGTAAAATCTAATAGAGGTCCAGAAAAACAGATAAAGAAAGACGTGAAGAAAAAGAAAGTGCCAGCTGCGGAGTTAGAAAAATGGTTCTGCAAAATTTGTCTCCATTGTGCTATTGAAGACATGATACAATGTTTGTCATGTAAATGTTGGGTCCACGAGGAGTGTGCTTGCGTTAAAAAAGGGATCAAAAAATATATTTGTCCATCATGTACTGAATAATGGATCTCAAATGTCTGAAATTATTGAATATTAATTTAAGTTTGAATGTTGATTTCTTTTAGATATTGAAATTTTTTAATTAATGTTCGGAGAATTTTTTATATCCCTGAAGATGGGTTTAAGTTTTATGTTATTGATATTAGTACAGAAAAAGTTTAACAAAGTTTTTTTAACAATACTCAAAAATTATTAGGTTAAGTTTATCGTTGTTCAGACTAGTATTTTTAGTTTTTAAGAATTTAACACTAAGTACTCTGATATTCCTATATTTTTTCTATGAAGATTTTAGTATGTAGCATTTTAAAAAAGTGATAACATGGTATTAAATATAAGGACCAAGAAGACTGTATTGTGAGCCAATGTTAAAATAATTAATATTAAAATAATGGTTAAAAACTAAAAAAAACTAAAAAAAAAGGCCAGGTCAAGAGTACCCTAAACCGTAGAGCACGTATGAAGGGAATAATGAAAGTGGACGAAGCAAAAGAAGTATGTAAGGATCGTAGCAAGTGGAAAGAACTGGTCTCTGCCTACCCCTACGGGAAAGAGGCGTGATTATATGTATGTATGTATGTATGTTAAAAACTTAAGTACCTCAAGTTGTTGTTTTAAAATTTTTATATTTTTTTGGGAAACATTTAAAAAAATGTTACATACATGCACGGTATTAAAACCAAGAAGACTGTTTCATATGCCTATATTGAAAAATGACCTAATTAGTAACATAAATGTTAAAATAATGATTAAAATGTTCATTTCTTTAAATTGTAGTATTATTAATTTGTCACCTTAAACCATGAAATTTCAGAGTTCCCAGTCCAATGATAGCAACAAACTGGTTTAATGAACGTTCCAGTGGTCCAATCAAAGAAACCTTAACAAAAATCATTTTACCCATTTATTGACTCTATTTACTATTTTAGAATTCTGAAACTTTAGGTATTTACACAGGAATACAAGAGCACTTCAGTAACTAAATCACTTTTATTCCACATTGCATACATTCGTTTTTTTAAGCATTTTAAAAAAAGTGGTCCAATCATCGCAATACCTTACCCTATGCAAAATTCTAAAAGAATAACCTTCTTTAATTGAATCAAGAAATCCTAAATCTGCCACGGGACATCCGGTAGAAGAAGAAAAAAATGACATTTGTTTGTCACCGTCTTTCATATTGAAGATATTTTCTGAAATTTATTAAAATTTAGTTCATAGGTTTATGTAGTTTTTAATATTTATTATTGATTTTTTGCTTAAATTCAGTTATTATGGGCTCAGAATATTTCAATTTTATATGTAGGTAAATACACAGTCATAATATTATCGTGAATATACAGTAAAGATTTTTTGTGAGATGTTACCCTGTGGGATACCAACAATGGACAAAGCCACTTCGCGCGCGCACACGGCCATCGGAATACTTCGGCAACCTTCGGAATTTACGTCCGTGACATTAACCATACTCTCATCACGCCAAGGTGCCCTTCACTCGCTCAGAGATTCCGGAGTAGACTCACGTTCGATCGCCTTGCACTTTTCTATACTTACGATAGTTTAATTCCCGTATTGTTTTGTTAGTTTCCGCCCTTTTACTCTTGTTCTTTTTGTTTGTATCCAGTGTAGTATTTTTTGGCTTGTTTTATGTGTTAAATGTAAATTCTAATTTAAATCATTATAGCTGACTTATACTGAACTTTGGACTTTCTTTGTTCACCATACTACCTAAGTCATAGTGCAGTTAAGAATACCTAATCGCTACAACCTGTATAAGATATTAAATATAAATTAATTCATTATTTCAAAGTTTTATGCACGATTTGTGATCATCATCGAAAGTAAGTTAAGTGTTGTGCAAATAAAAAACACAAAATCATCTGATCACTGTATGCAGGTTTCCTACGAGGGCTGCACTAAAAGTATCGGGAATGGAATATTTCCACTGTTCCTGTCATATTAAAATCTTTTTAATTGAAAAGTCCTTGGTTTTAAAAATCGAATACCATTTATTTATTTAAAAAAAGATTCTCGGTCTTGTCACAAGGTTTTGTCAAACTTGTTTAGTCGTTGAGAAAATGGAATTGACTCGAAAAAATTCAAGAGCGATGATTTATTATGACTTTCGAAGTGGTTTAACACAAAAACAGTGTGTTGACCGGATGATTTCTGCATTTGGTGATGAAGCCCCATCCAAAACCACAATTTATCGCTGGTTTGCTGAATTTCAACGTGGACGTGTCAAGCTCAGTGATGATCCCCGTCAAGGTCGTCCAAAAACTGCAGTCACCCAAGAAAACGTTGATGCTGTGCGTAAGCTGATTGAGGAAGATCGATATGTGACATATCGCGAAATTCAGGCAACTTTAGACAATGGCATGAGTCAAATACAAATAATCTTGCATGAACAATTAGGTGTAAAAAAGTTGTTTTCCCGATGGATACCGCATTCGCTCTGTGAAGAGCAAAAAGCGGCTCGCATTACTTGGTAACTTGGTGCGTCAGAACTCTCGAAAGATTCCACGCAGGATCCTCAAATGCTGTATACAACATCGTATTAGGTGACGAATCCTGGATATACGCGTACGAACCCGAAACAAAAAACCAGTCACGAGTTTGGGTGTTCGAAAATGAGTTAAAGCCAACAAAAATTGTTCGTTCACGGAGTGTTGCAAAAAAAATGGTGGCCACATTTGTCTCCAAAACTGGCCATGTTACGACTATTCCTCTTGAGGGACAAAGAACGGTTAATGCAGAATGGTATGCTAGCATTTGTTTGCCACAGGTCGTTTCTGAACTCCGTAAAGAGAACTGCAACCGCCGCATCATCCTCCATCACGACAATGCGAGTTCTCACACCGCACACAGAACAAAAGAGTTTTTAGAGCAAGAAAACATAGAATTATTAGACCATCCGCCGTACAGCCCCGACCTAAGCCCTAATGATTTCTATACTTTCCCTAAAATAAAGAATAAATTGCGT